AGGTTCACTGTAACATGGAATATGTGGTAAGGGCTTCAGTATAGTCCATATCTATAGCCCAGCTATTTTGTGGCTGCTGTAATCCATTTATTGTTCCACAGCCTGTTGTAGATAAACCTGAATGTGTGGGTCACTGAATGAATCAATTGTTTGCCTGGCCTCCGGAAACACATTTAGTTCCCTGTCTTCAAGAAAGCAAATCCATAGTTCCTTGAAACAAACCTGCAAATTCAGACAATTATAGAATTATGAAAGGGTTTTTAGCAAGATATTAGAAATGTAGTTTGAAATGGCCATTGTTAATAAGATGTGTTTGCTTGTTGATACAGAAATGTTAAAGTGAACAAAGGCAGGACAAATATCCTATAAATTATATTAAATACTATAATTTACAAAAATATACAATAATCCAAATATAGTTACCATAACGAGTGCAGTGCAATTTGTTATAATACAATATTCAATTTATGATCATTTAACTCTGAGTTGATGTGGATTACCTGTGAGGCAACAAATAGAGTTCGTTTGGAATCTCTCCAGGACATGAGGCAAGTCTGGATGGTCGAATCCTGTGCTTGTTCCAGAGGTCCGTACATTCATCCAGGTCTTTCTGCAGAACATTACTGAAGCAGAATCTCAGTAAGCACTGGTGTTCATGGCAACCGTTGAAGTATCCAGAGTCTCTTAGGTCTCCAAACAGGTCCATCCAAAACTGAGACCTAGGAATACATTAAATGCAAAGTTGTTGTTGTTGTTTTTTTTACACACGAGGATAAATGTTTAATTGATTGAATAATCTAGAGGGCTGAGATGAGGAATGTTATCAGCATTTTAAAGAGTGGTCTGAAAACAATAATTCATAATGGTCACCACTTCTCAGTTTGATCTGATCACTAGGCAATACATAGTTACATACCTTCCTCTTCTGAAAAAGGACCACCAGGACTCGATACGCTGATTCCCTGTTGACGAGCCGTAACTGTGGCTTGACGAGCCTCCATAGTAGTCTGTATGTGCATGGCGGAGGGCACATTGTATTAAGATAAGATAAAGATAAGATAAGATTGCTGCCATTGTCCCATTTTCTGTTCCGAGGTCAGTTTTTAATCTCATTGGGATCACACCAACACTTTAAATATACAATTAATATAATTGTGCGCGATGATAGATGGGTTGTTGTTAGTATTTCCACAAAGAAGCCACATGTTTTGAAATCAACTCACAGAAGCAGCATGCTAACATTGCGTTCGTCCAATCAGCGACGATCCTTGTTGACTGCAGGTACCTACCTTTTCCGGTTAAAGTTAATGTCGTTGTGTTTTCTTATTTGTGGTTGTGTTTTCTTATTTGTTGTTGTGTTTTTTGATTTGTTGTTGTGTTTTGTTGTTGTGTTTTCTAATTTGTTGTTGTGTTTTCTTATTTGTTGTTGTGTTTTTTTGATTTGTGGTTGTGTTTTTTCATTTGTTGTTGTGTTTTCTTATTTGTTGTTGTGTTTTTTCATTTGTTGTTGTGTTTTTTCATTTGTTGTTGTGTTTTCTTATTTGTGGTTGTGTTTTTTGATTTGTTGTTGTGTTTTCTTATTTGTGTTTGTGTTTTTTGATTTGTTGTTGTGTTTTTTGATTTGTTGTTGTGTTTTCTTATTTGTTGTTGTGTTTTGCACTTTCCATTCCGCTCCAAACGTCTGTAAGCTCGCCGACACATATCCCTGCGACATGATTGGCTGTTTGACATCTTTTTCTTCTCCTCTTTAATGTCAGGTGTCAACTAAAGTTTAAGACACATTAGCGCCCCCCCTTTTCCCAGTGTTTGGGTGGTGCAATTACAGGTTTAAATCTATAGCACATTTTTTTATATTTATATTGAGAAAAATTGTATTGCGATAATTATCGTTTTTGTTTTATCTCCCAGGCCTAAAGCGCTTGTCTGAAAGTTTGAAAATAGTTTGAAAACACTTCTGTAAGGAGCTGATCTAGATTTCTTTCAGAGCAAGTAGACCCTGTTTGGCAAGGATACAGTAATTAAGATAATCACATCATTACACATGGTGTACAACAGTTGTTCTAGTTGGAAAATAATATTTTTTGATTTGATTACAGTAGAATTCCCTTTTCTCTTAGTCGTGTGCTTGGCTGGATACACAGCTTATTATTATTGATTAAGTGTGGTGGGGAAGTTTGAATATGTGGAAAAAAGAACCAAGCCATACAGCACAATACATTTTAATCAGTAATCATTAGAAATTATTTTTATTAATTTTTTTATGCTGCAGTGCAGTTTGTTGCTTTCTCATAAATGTTAGATATCTACAACTTGTACAATCTTATGTACACATACATGAAACATAAATTAACTTTTGTGAGAAACCAATAACAACTGATTTGTTAAATATGGTTGGAACATCAAATTATTCCTCACAAACAATTTTTAACTAAAATATTATTTTACAAATAAATGTGTAATTTCAAAATGTAGTTCTGCTGTTTCTCATACTTGTCCTCTTTTAATTACAATAATAAATGTGACTTTTGACTTTAACAAACATACACACTGTGATTGTGCCTAAATGAAAACTCAGTGTGGCAGACATCCAAACATGCAGCGAGATGAAGGGTGAGTTTTATCAGATAATATTGCTGCTGGCATGTGAGGAAGTGAGGAAAGAACGGTGGAGGAGATGGGAGCAGAGGGAGGAAATTATGCTCTTATCTTAAATCCTTAAAAGATCACCCAAAACACAAGTTATACAACAAAGGGTTATAAAAAAAAATGTCCCTCTCATTGAAGGTGCAGCGAGGCAGGTCTATACTGCACAGAGCCAGAGCATCAAAAGAGATTATGTTGTGATTGCTTCTCTTCTGTATTATCGGCCTCTCATTCAGTCCCATTCTCCCGCTCCCTGTCTCTCTATCTACCCAGCTGAACTGTGTAGTTATTTATTGGACTGCAGTGTGCTGTAATAATAACTAATAGATCAATATGTGAACCTTGAACTCAAAATATTCAGTATTATTGATTGACATTACAATTATCACTTACCTCATTTTTATATTTTCATTGCTATTACCTTACACACGTGCAGGCACTAATGACAGCAGACATTCCTGATGTCAGAACCACTTTGAAAAGTCTTGCAGTCAGACCGTTGTCATTCATTACATCTTTATGGAAAAAGCTTACACCTGTATACCAACAAAAAAAATCTATCACATTTTTTCTGGGCCAGTACGTTAAATTGTTTCCTAAACCTGCATAGTTCTTTAACTTTTTAATCAAATGACATTCACTACTAAGTTGTGTTGCAGCGTAGCAAAAAAAAACTTGTTATACTGACTGAGGAAACAATGAGAAAACTATTCTGACTCAGGAAACAGTGGGAAAACATAATACAGCAATGTGTACAGTTTTCTTAAAAAAATGCTACTTCCTTTTATATTCATGATATTAACAATTTTGCTAAGTATTTAAGAAAAAAATACATCTAAATGTACATTTTCTGGAAGAGCCAAGGATTAAATGTAACATTAAATTAACTGACATTCCTATCTGAAAGAAGTTTGTTTAAGACATGCTGTATTTAATTGACTCAAGTTCTTAAGAGGCTATCCATATTTTAGTTTCATCCTGTTGTAGTAAATACAATATTGAGTCTCACCCTATATTTTCTATCATATTCCCCTGCACTCATACTTTTAACTCCTCCTCTCAATCCCCATCAAGCAAACCCCATGATTTATCTATCCCTCATTTAATTTAATTCAGTACCTCTATTCTTCTTTTCTCTCAGTAAATTACTCTATGTAGGTGAGGGTCTGTCAAGGGCACAGTGCAGGGAAGATAAAACATGTTCATGAGGCCACTGAGCAGCAGCAGCAGCAGCTTTAAGCTAGAGCAGATAAGTATGCACTGTGAATTTTTACATAATTCGGAAAAGGGACAACTGTGTTCCTGGTAACGAAGGCTGCACCGTGCGCACCTTTTGAAAATTAAGCTTTTGCAAGGTGTTGGGTGGCAGAGTGTTATGTACAATTTTAAGGAACATCCCTTATTTGCTCTTACTAATCACCTTTGCCTTCATACATGTAGGGGGAAGCAGTCAGGCTGTTATTTGTAGCTCTATGAATTCTACCTTGACAAGGCTGTTGAGTAATTTAACCATAATAACAGTTTGCGCTAAGACCTTGAGCTCTTCATCCTGACACATAATTACACAAAATGAGTACATGTAAGTCAGCCAGTTATAGCTTCTTACCTGTTGGGTTATTTATCAATGGAAGAAGCACTATGAGGAAGAGGAGGAGGAGGACAGAGAAATGCAGGAATTGAAGAGTGATGTGGTTGTTGGAATGTGAATTTAACTGTGTGTGTGCGTGCGTGCGTGTGTGCGTGCGAGAGAGAGAGAGAGAGATAGAGAGAGAGTAAAACCAATTCTATATCTTTTGATTTTTTTATTCATCCACAGGCTACTTTTCTTCAAAAAGTGCCATTTGTAACATTTTCTTGACCTTTCGAAAACGTAACTTTTGAATAGACTCTCCATGCGTCAGTGGGCTGAATTGGTAAAACTGCAGAATTGGACTCCACATGTTAAAGCACCAAAGCTATCTCAACAAGCTCTCCTTATGGGAGCTGACCTGGAGCCATACTTTTAGTATGTATTCACTACTAGTGAGGCTGAACCTCACCAAAAATAGAATCACACTCTGGTCATAAAAATGCTAATATTTATATACAGCAGTATATATCAATGGAAGAAGCACTATGAGGAAGAGGAGGAGGAGGAGGACAGAGAAATGCAGGACTACTCACTACTAGTGAGGCTGAACCTCACCAAAAATAGAATCACACTCTGGTCATAAAAATGCTAATATTTATATACAGCAGTATCCCAGAGTTGCCACTGTGTTTGTATTTCCGCTTGAAAATGAAAAATATCCATCCGTCCTAGTTTTACTCAAGTTTTCTGTCAAGTTAACCTTGTTTGCTATTTGATTTCTTCTTAGATCCCTCCTCCCAGCCGAGGCAGAAGCTGCCAGCCACTGACCCCTGCTACAAATCTGACATCAGCAGTTTAATGGACTTCAACTCTCCGGATGCTTCCCTAGACAAAGGTAAGACCTGACCTGCTCCATTGAACCAGAGCTAGATGACTTGAATGATTTTTGTTCCTGCAGTGGCATGTTGAGAATGTTTGAAATACATGCAAGAATACAAATGCATGCAGAATATGCACAAACATGATGCACCTGCTAATATGTATTGCACATAAGCTTCCCTTTGAGATTAAGGGTCTTTACAAAGGTTAAACCAGGATTCCCTAATGGGGCGGCAATGAGGGTTCGCTTATTAGTTGCCACCCTACATCTGTTAACTTCCTAGCTTATCAGCATCATTGCTTGCACCTGTTGTTGGAGGAATGGGAATCAATTACATGTTATTCTTGCTAATGGATGCTGATGAGCAATTTTAAATTTAATCAGACTATTTAAAAGGCATATTCTTGATTTAGTTTTTGCAAATGATGATTTAGAAGTAGAAATATAGCAATATTTGACAACTGGTTCTTCTATGTATGTGTAGTGTGTATTTTTTCAGTTTGGCTAGTTGCTGCATGGTTGGCTGGACCAGCAGGTCAGACATTATATCCCTCACTGCACTATGCACAATAATAATCCAGTGAGGAAATAACAGGCTCGGAATGGTTTTTTTGGGGGGTAAGAATGTATTATCTCTATTTTGTTTCTGAAAAATAGGTTTGATGTAAATGGTTCAACATGTTAGAAGGCAAGAAATAATTGCTGGTTAACGTGATGTTGTGATTGTTGCAGTTGATTCTTACATGCGCCTTTAACTATTGTGATAACAACACAGAGTGTTGTTGAACGTAGGTGTTATTTAACGTTAAGCTTGATCCCTGTAGACCATACGATTTTTTTAACTGTCAATTTACACAAAACAATTATTCTCTTTTGTTGCCTCCACAACAACCACAATTTAATCTTACTTAATTACATTTACGCCTTTTGCACCAGCTGTTAACACTTTGTGAATCACATAGTATTGCAAAGTCATCAAAATTATGTTTAGGGTCATTAAACTCAGCCAGTGGTTGTCTTTGAACACACCATTGCTTGCACTTGGTGTAGGAATTCTTTATGTTGCTAATGAGGACAACTTGATTATTTTTGCTTAAAAATGAACATGTTTATTTATTCTTCTCCTTTAAATGATGACATAGTGAAGCTCCCTGAATGGTAAACACCACAATTCTCCGTAATCATCTGTTTACAAATCTGCTGTATTCAGCCACTAACAATCCTAAAAAGCAGCATAACTTTAGAGTCTGTATTTATGCCCTTGCTCTCTCACTGGGTGGTCTACTGACCTCTCATACTGTAGGCCATAGGGTCAGCTCTCCAGACAAATACAGTTTCAAAGGTTTATGTGTAGTCTGTCTCAATGTTCCAACCCTTTTATGACAAAAAGCTTCTTTCAAGGACTATGAGACTTGTAGAAAGGATCAAAGCAGCTACTGATGGCACCATTACAAATGCATCTCTCTGACTGTGGATCCTGTAAACCCGCCAGCTCCAGTCAATCTCTAGTGTCACTCAGGGAGCCCCCAGGGGTCCTTTCTTCATTAGACTGTCCTGCTTAGGGGTCTATTTAGCTGCCAGTTTCTCTTCTCTCCTATTAGCGTCTGTCAATGTCAGGATGATACTGAGAGATCTAACAGGTCATTGAAAAAAAGGTGTTTTTGGGTTACTGTAGTTTGTAAGTAAAGCAAACTGTTACCTTCTATGATTGTTCTGCAGACATGTAATAATGTTCTCTACTAAAATGGCTGTGGCCCAGTGGTAAGGTTGGTGGTCTCTCAACCAGAAGGTTGGATATTCAGTCCCCAGCTCCTGTAGTCACATGTCAAAGTGTCCTTGGGCAAGACATTGAACCCCAAATTGCTCCTGCTGCTGTGCCACCGGTGCGTGAATGTGGGATTATAAGTGGGATTAGTGAACACTGATGGACTTTATGTAGCAGTCTCACAGAGCAGGTCACACTTCATCATGTCGGTTAATGTTGAATTATCTGTCAACCTTCTCCTTTTGTGTCCTTCTTCTTGGCAAATTTATCTACTAAAAGCCTTTTTTGGTCTGAAACAAAGGTCCATGCTGAGGTACACTAAAGCAGACCTAACATTTCAATCAAATTTAAATGACAGCTTTTGGTAGCATGAATACAATAGCAGAAACATAAGCAAGCCTGCTTACTAGGCTAATGTTTGCACATCCAGCAAGATAAAAATGCAGCATGATTGAACTGACTCAAATTAATTGATAATTGGGTATTGGGGTTTTAAATATAATATTAATAGCTAATTGCATGATATTTTTAAAAGCTGAGGCTAATGCAGCTGGTTTCTTCCTACTAATATAGCAACATGTAAGATAAGAGTGTTATTTATTTCTCACATAACACTATTTATTTGCTTAGGTTACTACTGCAATAAGCATACTTGTGCAATTTTAATGTCACAAAAGGCTTTTTCTAATAGTATGCTTGGAAAACATATTGTTATCTTGAAACTTTTTTTACATGTGCAAAAATGTGAAAATGATACAAGAGCTATAGTAAAATAAAGACAGTTTTGAATAGACAGACAAACTCAACCTTAAATCTTGAAATGTAACTTAGTAAGTTACTTAGTAAGTTTCTGGAGTAATTGTTGAATTCCATCCAGTTGATGGTGCAGCCATTGCTAGTGAAATGTGCTTTATAAACAAACTTCACTTTGATTGATGGCAATAGTTTAATGATTAATGACAAATATGAGGATAAATGTTCATCAACAACCATCCATCCATAAGGAAGACATGACGTTGAAAAAAATCTCTGCACACCTCAATGTGTGACAGTTGCATCGAAGGAGGGTTAAGCTTAAAGACAATGCGAAGGGCTGCCACACATTGACTCGCTTTACATTGACAAATGCATTTGATAATACAGTGTTTCAGTCTATTCGACCTTCACCGGGTATAATAGTAGCAAGAAGACATTTCCATGTATATATCAGAGAGCCTGAGATTGATGATCACCTGAAGCTGCACAGTCCATCAACAGCCAGGGATGAGTTCAAAGGCCATGAAAAAGTACAATAAATGTTGAATATTCATGTAACCTTTTTTACCTCATGAATTAGGGGAACCCTTGTCATTATAATAAAAACTACGACAAAACAATAATATTGTTTTCAGTAAAGAGATGAGACAGGAATAAAACCTTAGTTCAGTCAGGAATTCTCTCTTCATAGATTTAATCATTTATTGCACTTGTGGTTTGTACAGTTGTATTGGGCGGTATTGGTTTTGCTCTTAGCTCTCAGCAGTAACCATGCAGCATGTCACAGTTTTTGCTGGCAGCGCAAACATTTACTTCCCCCCATGGGGACATGCAGAACAGAACCTGAATGTGCATGTAATGATACTGACATCTTGCAGACATAACAAGCAAACAATTCATCCTAGAATATAAAATGTGCTGACTGAAGCTAGTGCAGGTTGGGGTGGTGGAAGGAGAATTTCATAGCCGGGTCTAGCAGCAGAGTAGATGTGATGCACTGGGTGGCTGTGGCTCAGTTGGTAGAGCCATCGCCTCTCAACCAGAAGGTCGAGGGTTTGATCCCCAGCTGGGCAACATGTCCGATGTGTCCTTGGGCAAGACACCTAACCCTGAATTGCTCCCTCTGCTTCAGTGGTGGTGTATGAATGGGATTAGTTACTTTTGATGGATGATACTACATAGTGATCTCTACCATCAGTGTGTGAAAGGGTATGAATGGGTTGGTGACATGTGGTGTAAAAGCGCTTTGAGTAGTCGGAAGACTAGAAAAGCGCTATATAAGCTCAAGTGCATTTACTGGCGAATGTTTTAAATAGATCGCCTTGTTGTCAGAGTGGGATAATGATTGGTTGGCGTTGGGGCAGTTCTCAGATCCGCTGCTGACTGCTTGCGGGCAGAACTACCGTATTCCACCTGGACTAACTCAAGGCTCCATTAGTGTGCTATTGGTGATATATCCCCCACTCTGTATTACATGTCCGCCAAAATGTTAATTGAACACAGACATGTTGACTGACTTGCCATACCTGAATATAGTGGTGATTGGCTTTGATCTGACAATTGCTATTGGGGGGAGGGCTTGTAAAGCTAAATTCAAATAGTTATAGATCCTGCTGAAGACTGTATTATTATTATTATTATTATTATTATTATTATAAGGGTGTAATTATTTGTTTAGATTTGTATTATTTGAAAGTCAAGAAAGCGGACACAGTACTAAGTGATGTAAGTTATATGGAGTTCAACACAATGCAGATATCTAACTCTCATTCAACATCAGCTAGCTGCCAGTTCCAGAGCTATGTTCTTGTTCTCTGGGTGCTGTAAATGTGCAGACTCAGGAAAGCCATACACAAACACCCCTGCAGTGGCCAAGGCCACGTGTACCACCGCCAGTTTCATCAGAATGAGAGCAGGGAAGTCAGAGGCTGTGTTATCAGCAAATTCATCTCAGGTCTGCAGTAAGAGGGACACAGAGAGACAGGCAAGGAGAGGGAAACAAACGAAAGCAGCAAGCACTGTATCATTATAGAGACAGGTGCTGCTTGTGCACATTACCTGGCAGTGATGTCACTAGCTAGGTGAACATTTTGGCATGCAGTCTAGTATAAATAGGAAGGTCAGAACAAAGAGGTCGAACCGAATGGCCAGAAGAAAAGGAATTAAGAGGGAGGGAAAACAGAGAGGAAGACGAGAAAAAGGTCGAAAAAAACTGAAGAGCTGTTTTTGATGATGTTTTTTTGAAAACTGATGAGCAAGAGGAGGAGGTGAGTGACTGCATAAGGACAAAGACTTGACCTTCATGTAGAACACAAAAACATACAGTGAAGTGGAGAGAGACAAAAATTACTGAAAGAACAATCAAGAAAGGGGGAATGGTAATGTAGATGTGTCGGTGTGGGTGGATGTGTAGAGTGGTGAGTGGTGCTGTGCATTTTTCGCATGTGCTGACACTTTCCAAACACCTGCCCCCACCCACACCATCATATAGCCA